CCCCAAAACCCCAAAACCCCAAAACCCCAAAACCCCGTTAGGCTCCTTATAAATTATATTAACTTAACTCTAGTATATCAATGGAGAAAAGGGGCTGAAAAGGTCAAGGCTCGGCAAGAGCTACGGAGGGTTCGTATCCAGAAGATTGAGAAGGCAAATTAGAAGAAATAGGCCAAATTAGCGACCTTTGCAAGTCTAGCAGAAGTTCTTCTAAAGCATCCGCCAAATCTGAGCGTGCGCAGGCACCAAGACAAAGAGATCTCATGCGCAAGGAAAAGCTTGTTAAAGTCCGTAAGGATGGTATAGAAACAGATTGAAGACATATTTGAGTAAGATTTTAGATTCGTTTCGATCAGAGGAAGCTAAGATGTTATAAAAACTTTTCACTAAATTTATCGAATAGCAGTTTTAATTCCATTACCCGTGTACTCCAACACAAGGGTAGCCTTTTGTTTAGAAGGTATGGTTATTTGGGTATTTATTATCCAAAATTTAAAAATATCCCTGATTCGTTCTCTACAGCCTTAGTGGTGAAACAACAATTTTAATCTTTGTCTAAAATCTGACCAAAACCTATTCACCTTAATGTGAAACAAAGTTCATAGCTCTATAAGTTTAAAGAGGGTATTCATGCTAGTTCTCTGTTAGAATAACTTATGGGATAAATATTTTACAGCAGACCTAGCCAGAGCTTCCGTATGTATAAATCATGCAGTATACTTTAGCTAGGATGCTTAAAAATCCCCCTAAATTCTCTAGAATCGATAGTATTGATTAATTTACTCATAGAGAGATCAGACTACTGTCAAAGATCATTCACTTATTGGAAAAGAAAGAGAGGAGACCAATGTGAATATCCAGTTAAACAAACTGCTCAATAAGTTTGAGAATAGAGTCTTTAAGAGTCTCAAGTATCTCAGAGGAGGCTATTTGTTCAAGTACTTGACTAAACTCCTATGGCATGATGAACAAGTGACCTTTCATATTATGGATAGCAAGATGAAAAGATTTAAATTTTCCTTAAAATTCTTTGCAGAGTGTCGTAATCAGTATAAAACCAAGAAGGCTATAAGAGACTTTAGTCAAAAATCAACTCATAACAGAGTCCTGAATATTTTATCAAATTCAACATTCAGAAAAGGGAGAAGGAAAAAGCTAGTCTCTATTGGTCTCTATCTCCCTGCCATAAGTCAGATTGCTCACAAAGTTTGAGGCCAAGTTACTCTTGATTGTAATCTTTAATTTTTACCAACTTTAGATTTTTCTTTCACTGAGCCTCAGTTGAAGAGACTTTTCATGCTATTCAGGCATAAGACTTGCATTAAGTTTGATTGCTGCCACTTCCATCTCAACAGAATCCCGAATCTTAGCAAGTGCTTACACAAAACCACACTTAAGCAGATCAGTTTCAGAGATCCCCCAGATTCTGGATCATTTGTTTTGAAAAGCAAGTTTACTGAATATAAGACCCTCATATTTGGATTTGGTAATTCAGACCTCACAAAATCCCTTCAAGGACTCTATCTTGACGTATCCAGGAAGCTTCAACACTTGCTTGGCAAGTTCTTAGACGAGTACGAAATCGGCAATGCCAGCGTTGTGGTCTGTTAGAACCAGAACATCTGAAATTCTTTATCATGTAAATAATGAGTAATCATAAATTTATATGCTTCAATCTCAATCTATAATCTTGGGGTTTTGGGGTTTTGGGGTTTTGGGGTTTTGGGG